TGGCCCCAGACCTCCCGTACGGGTGTCCTGGGGATGAGAGTGACAGCAGCCCTTCCAGACAGCAGCAGGAAAATGAGTTTAACGTGCCGAGAGATTCTGTACTGGGGCGTGGGGGGGGAGATGCTGTGGCTGGGAGGTAGAGAGATGAATGCTTTCATGTGGGAAGTATGAGAAGAGGCGAGGGCAGAGGGTCTGCTCCTCGGCCAGAGAACAGAGTGCAGCCATTATCAGGCAGGGCTCTGCTGGCAGGAAGCGGCTTTTGACTCACAGGAAGCCAAATTCGGCTGGTATCGGCCCCTCGCGCGAAGGCCAGGGCAGCATTTTATCTGCCGTGGAGCACAGCAGATGGGGAAGCAGTCGGCACTCCCTGCCATCCCGCTCCTGCTCCAGCACCCGTGCCCGATGGCCCTCCAGCATCCCCCCCCCTCTGAAAAGGGATGATTCCCTGTGGAGCAGCGGAGCGGGGGCAGCTTCGCAGACCCCAGGAGAGCTGCCAGCCTCGCTGGAGGAGGCAGAGATTCCCCCCGCCAGCCGGTGCCAGGGCAGAGCCAGGACCCTCCAGGCTGTTGGCCCCAGCCCGGGGAAGGTACTGCATCCTCCAGCAGACGCAGTGGGTCTGAAGAGGAGCTGGGAGCACTCAGACTTTGGAGAGCTGGCTCCCTGGCTTGCAGCTCAGATTAAATCCTCCCAGATTCTCCCAAATCAGAGCCCGAGGTGGGGAAGGGCTTGCAGGGACAGGGAGCCCTTAGCACGGAGCCCGCTGCTCATCCCTTGGCCTTTCTGTAGAGCTGCCCTGGGCTGGGAGTCTGGTTTCGCACGGGGTGGAGGTCACCGCCGAGGGGATCGGGTGGCAGCTGCTGGCCTTAGACCTGCTGCCCCACCGAAAACCCGGCTTGCTCGTCAGCGCTGCAGTTTGGCTGTGAATCCCTCCAATTATGACACTTTTCACCCACGTGCTGGGTAGCTGAGGAATGGCCGCAGGGGCCTGTGGAGACCCAGCGGGGTCACCAGGAGCCAAAGGAGCCGGCCAGGTGGAGGAGGCTGGCCGTGGACGCGTGCAGGTGCTGCTGTCGGGCTCTAAGGCAGCGCAGGTCCATGTGGGAGACGCGGCAGGGCTACCGTGAGGGGCTCGGAGAGAAGCAGGCAGCGGGCAAGGGCGGCAGGAGCCTGCCCTGTACCCGGGGCCTGCCCACACCCAGGCTCCCTCAAGCTGCCTGCGGCCCGGCAGGCTGCCCGCAGCCAGGGGCCGGGCGTGTCGGGGCCCTGCCCGCAGCCTGAGGCCCCGGCGTAGCCTCTGTGTATGTGTGGGGGGGGGGCCCTGCCCGCAGCCGGGGCCTGCCCG